GCCCCTGGCGGGGCCCCCGCCCCCCCCCCGCCCCCCCCCCCCAGGAAAACGAGTAAAAGACACATCATTATGTTGTTGATGAACGGACAATTAAGATTAAAAAATGTTCAGCATTCGAATTTGCAGTTATGAGAATAAAAAATATTGTTTGCTAATATTGCTTAGAACTATATGTATTGCCTAATTACACAGAAAGATTAATACCCCAAAATTATCAATTACAATCAAATAATTTTTAATGTTTATTTATTCTATCAGACGGAAAAATAAAAAATAAAAAAATGTTGTATTTCTAAAACTATTGTATATAGTTGCATAATTGTTTTTACTACATACTCACGAATTTTTAAAATTTGCGTTAAAATCGACTGTTAATATCATGTCCTTGCTATTCGAAGAACTGAATAGGCAATGTTAAATAACAGTTGAAATCAACTGCTAAAAAAATTTCTTATCCTAAAAGATGTTTCATGTAAAACATTACAGTTATAGATATTAATTTATTTAATAATTGTTTTGATTTCATATAAAAATTCATATATAATTAACTGTTATGTTTCTATATGAAGAATAGAATACCCTAATACTTTTAAAAAAACATGAAAATTAAAATAACACTACGTTACATGTATAATAATTAATTTTTAATACAAGAGTTTGTAAGTTTTTGAAATATAATTGTGAATAGTGTTTTTAACAAGCATGGAACTTTCTGGAATAGAAATTTCAAAGAAGACAGACATATCATTTTTGTAAAATCCTAACAGCAAACTAATCTTCAGTTGTTTCTGTTGTTTTTGTTAAAAATTATTCTTTTTTACTGCCTTTTTTTTTTGTTTTAAATTTTCTACAATTTTAGCAGTTTGTGGAACGTCTCATAAAGATTTATTTTGTCCTTCTTTCGAGATCATTAATGCTCTTACTTTATCACGAGTATGAAAAAAAAAAAAAACGTTTTAAGAACAGTTGTTGCATCGGTGAAGTGTATACTTACTCTACTTATCTACATTTATATCAAATTTGCGTGTTCGAGAGAAGGCACGAATGGAATGAAATTTATGAATCTTCAACTTTCGACTCCATTCTTCACAAAAGACGTGAATAAAATGAACATCCAGTTGTTTTCTTTTAATAAGAACTCACACAAAAAAATATTTATTTGCTTCATAAAGTGAATTCTTTCATACACCATCTTTTTAGTTTGTCGACAATATTTACCAATTCATAACTTGTTCTCTTTCATATTGCCCTCACTTATGTTTATTTTTTTTAAATTCCTTTTTGCTGTTCATTTTCATATACCCCATTATATTTGAGCGAGATCACCGAAGTCAAGCATCATTGGGCGCGGTCAGTACTTGGGTGGGTGACCACCTGGGAACCGCGTGCCGTTGGCATTCACAAATTTGGGACCTGAATGGCCGAGTGTCTAGCGCTCTGGCGCTCGGTGCCACAGGTAGCGGGTTCGAATTACGGCGGTGCCATGGATGTTTGTAGTGGTTCGGAATCCACTTTAAGCCGTAGGTCCCGGTCTCCTATGACTGCAAGAGCGTCACGGAGCCAAAGTCAGACTTCTACTTTCGGGTGCTACATCACAACAGAAACTGCTTTCTTCCTCTTCAATCATGAGTCGTATGGGCTCGTGGGCTTGGCCAGCCAAGTGGGATAAGAAACAACAACAATATTTGAGCGATTTTATAATGATATTTTAAGTACTGTTTTTTTTTTTAATTTTTTTTTTTATACGTCATCCTCACTTTTTTTACTGATACTATAGGTGCTACATCATCATTTCGGAGATGGAACATGGAAATGAGGCACTGAATAGATTCTTCAATAATATTTAATTTAATATGTATATAAGATTCTTAAAAAGGTGTGATTATAGCTTAAGAGCTTAATATACTTATTCAATAATTATATGAATTATTTTTTATCAGTTATTTGATAAGTATAATTAAATAATACTGTGATATTAAACAATTATTTTCTAGCACTGATGGGAAAAGCAAAATTGATTAAAAACATCCAATGCTATCGTAGCATTTGCGATGAAGATAAAAATCAATAAATTTCTAGATCGATTTATTTGTAATACGAGTAATACTATTTAATGGGAACTTAACAATATTTTAAAGTGACAAATTGAATAACATTTTTTTTTTTTTTACAGGATTATAAATATAAAATATTGTTCATATTTTTTTCAAAATTTAAATGCATGTTATATAAAATTCTTAGATAAAGATCTAGAAATATTTTGGATATTTATATAGCATCTATAAAGACTTTATTGAACATTTTGTTACTGCTTATTATCTGTAATTGTAAAATGCTCTTATTTTATTTTCCTCAACTAATATTAATTTTTAAGAATAAATTACTTAATCAAACTTGTATTCTACTGAATATTTCAATTAAACGACAAAATTTGTCGAAAAACTATAGATTTATTAAATGGAACTTAAAAATCGTTCAAAATAGAAAATTTTACCCTATGGACTAATTAAATTTTTCATTGTCATTAAAAAATATGCTAACATAAAGAGACAGTAGCAATTTTCAAGAATCATTTTAAATAAGAAGTTAAGCAAAAGGTTAGTTTGCAAAATGAAACTAACTACTAATGATTTTCGAATCTCAAGACATTTTATTTTCTCTTACCACAATTAATGGAATGTAGGAAACATTAAAATAGTTATTCCCAACGTTATGCTCAATTAGCATTCTATTGAGAATGCGCTCAAAATAACTCTCAGATGCTTCGATTAGTGTAAAAGATATTAGCAACCACTTTCCTTAAGTAATATGAGACGTTAATCTTCTGCTCACTGTGGATGATTTCTCCTTGCCATTGAAATATATAACTCTAAGTGAGAGAGGATAATTAAAGAATGTTAATTAAATCTTATTCTACCATTCGTGAAGATTAATTTATATATTTATATACGTTTACTTATCCACTTGCTACACGTGCCCCCTGGGTAGTGCTAAATGACTAACAGCGGTGCAGCTCTTGTTTATGGTATAAAGTTCAGCTGTCTCTGTATTGCCAGCTGCATTCGAACAACATTTATCTACTTATAACTATCAAAAGAACTAATTAATAATTATACTACACGCCTTTTTTGATTGTTTAAATTTATTTTATCTTTTTCTATGGTGAAACTTCAATTCCATTGAATATTAAAACTATTTTAATAACTTGATTTTAGAGTTGGTAAATTCAGTATTATTTCAGTACATAGGTTTATCATATAGGGTCTCACCACATTTTAAAATCATTTGAATGCTTTATAATTCATCAATTATGTTTACTAAAATTTTCACATTAGGTCGTTAAATCTATGTAGGTTGATTGTTAAATCCATAAGTTATGTCGGGACTGTTGGAGGGAATCTCTTTTGAAGATTCCAGCTATCCCTAGAGTACATACTGTTGCAGCTTTTCGGTTGGAGACTTGACATGATTGCCTTGCAGGACATTTATTTAGTTTTAACATATTTTCGGCCCCTAATTGTGTATTATGCGTTAGAGAAACTGTTATGGTTACATCGCATCTTAAAGAATGCCCTGAGGTGTCTCGATATTTATATGATCGATATTGACAAGCAAGAGAGAAACTTCAAGATCTCGGACTGGCTGACTTGTGTTGACTTTTGACATTTTTTTTTTTAGTTTAGCTTTCTGATCTTACATCTGCTTTTGATTAACTACATGTGTATATATTGTATGTGCTTGTCAAACATTAGTCAATGAATTTGTATGTTCATGTGATACTGCTAAAAAATTATGTAGTAATGTCTTTATGTTTGTATGAATAAAATGTCTTCATATTATTTCTTGTTTTTCGTTATAGTTTTGGCACAACTGCAGCTGTCTTGGAAGTTTTCCCTTTTTATATACCGTACATTGCGAAACTCTTACTATTATTTTTCATGTAAATTTTGACAAATGAAATGCTTAAGTGAGTGTTAACTGACTAATTAATTGATTCTCAATTTCTTTCTCGGGTGTATCTGTATTTATTCGGTTTTAATTTAGACTATAAAATTTTTATTTTTATTAACCTAGTTCTCTTTTAGTAATCTTATTTTTGAATTAAACAGTATTCTTCACGTTCTTTAATCAAAAGTCAGAACACTTTTAGAGCTTGCCATGCTACTTCCGAAAATTCCATGATAAGTTTCATGATTAATTCCTATTCAAAATGAAAATATTAAAGAGAATACACAAATTATATAAAAACTGAATATTAGATCATGTGCAATCATCATGGAAAATCATTGGATCATGTGCAGTCATCATGAAAAATCATTGAATCATGTGTTTACTTTTAAAAGTTTCGCATAGAACTTCGAAATAAAGCAGTTAGTCCAAAATAATTCAGCATCCTTATTATCGGCAAATAAATAGTAAGGACTTTTAAAGATTCCTTCTTTATGTAGGTTTTATATTAAAAATCATGCCATATATGATTCTTAATGTAAGAGAAAGAGAGATGAAAACAAACACTATGATGGCATAGGGAAAAAAAACCACTAGATCTTTGAGTCCGCCGATACTTATGATTTATTTATATGAAATCATAAAAATTGCATATAATACGGAATTTTTAAGATCTTTTTTTGCAGCCTGTTTTCCTTATTAATCTATTACGGGAATTTTAAGTTATTTATATTTGTACGCATCAGATTGCTAGTTTGATCAAACCCCCCAAGTACACGGGCATCATTAATGAAATTTCCCTGCAATACGTATTAAATGCGGTTCGAAGCTTCCCAAAGCAATTAATATAGTTTATTACCAGAAACAATGACAGTTTGAACAGTGAGGTGTAGGTTTTTTCGTTCTAAAAATAAGCTTTCTCAATGCATTTGGCTCAGGAACTTTATCACTTGGTTTACGCTACATTATTAATTGGGCCATTCTCTCTGTAAAACCATAAACATTGAATTACATGGTATACATACATACATAATATATATATAGTTATGTACTACTATCATTAAATGAATGAAAATATGCAGGAATTAATTTTATCATGGGATCAGTCAAAGACTTTCATACAAACACTGAATTTATTAGGATGATTCATTATCAAACGAGCATTAAACATCAATAAGTAATAGTTTAAATTTATAAAATAAGTAATAGCTCCATTAGCTTTATAAAATAATAAACATAGCTATTAATCAAGCTATTCCCATAAAAATTTGGGAAAAAAATTGAACCTTTATATTTAATTTCTATTCAAAGAGAAAAAAAAAATAAAGGATATTAATTTATCCAAATTTAATTTTTTGATTCTAAAATCTTATGATACCATTCATTGAATGTTATACAATATATTGTAAAAATTTTATAATTTTATGTAATCTGAAAGTGCATACAGAATTTTTTAAATATTTTTGTATTTTGTTTTTCATGTCATTTTATTATGGCAATTTTAAGTTCAATGCTAATATGCATCATAGAAGGCCTTCATTGCATATAGTACATTCATAGAAGCATATGCATTCACATAATACTAATTTCAATATTAGTATACATCAGACACATACTTTGATCTGAAGGTGTTTAAAACTTTATTAAAACTTTTTATGTTTATGCATATTACAATTAAGAAATATTTTAATTCATTTAACGATTCCAATTTTCAGGATTGAATTATTTGTAACACTAAAAACTTACAAATTGCATGATTATGACATAATACTACTAGTAAAGTCTCTCTGCATTAATATTTACGTACAATTAATAAATAGTCATCCGAATTAAGATGGAATTTGATATTCTTGAATTACATTGCATATCAGAATGGAAATGACGAAGCACTCATTGCATCTAAATTAAATTTCAACCCATTTCCTGCATCCATTCTTCAATATCATGTACAGTACGACGTATGCCATGCTTTTAAATGGAATACCACTAGAAATTAGCCAGCACAGATACGGAAGTCAATAATAAACTAGATGCTGCAAAGAAATTGATGAGACTGTGGATTTCGTCAATGTCACAGAGTTGCGATGTTATTTTGATGCGGCTACGAACTGGTCACTTTCGCTAACTCATCATCATTTGCTCTTCAACGCATTTGCATTTACTGCAGCGCTTAATTACTATTCATCCTATTTTAATAGACGATAAAATGAGATTTGGCTCACTGTTGTTTAAAGCACTTTCATGATCGTTAAAACTTATCTTTTTAATACATTAGATTGTGATTATTTTTTAATTAGAAATGTAATTTATTTATTCATAAGAGCGTTGAAGTTTTATTATATTAATTTTATAATCTAAATTTCATGATGGTGTTATAAGAATTTATTTTTGCATAACGTAATCAAATTTAAATTGTATTTGTTCCATATATTTTTCGCTCCCTTTG